TATATATATATATATATATATATATATATATATATATATATATATATATATATATATATATATATATATATATATATATATATATATATATATATATGAGTGCAAAAATCGAACAATGTACAATAATAATCAGAGTAAGAATTTTCAAATCAATTCCATAACAACAATAGCAAGAATAATAACTAGGAAAAATTATTATTATTATTAAAATTATTATTGTTGTTGTTGGTTTTATTATTGTTATTATTATTATTTACGAAACTGACGCAACCAATTTCTACCATCGAAGTGCCACGCCACCCGAAACAAAAAACAGAAAATAATAACATTAATAAAAACAACAAAAACATCAACAACAATAATAACAGTAATAATAATAACAATAAATAATAATAATAACAAAAAATAACCATCATAATAATAATCACGTCGTCATCACGTCAAAAAAATTTTTTTAAAGCGTCTGCCAGCTATTTGAAATGAGAATGAACGAACGAGCTTACTGAAGAATGTAAATTACTGATTTATAAACATTTCCTCATTCTTAAACAGCATATCGAAAAGAAAAACTACAAATTGTATTATATATAAACACACATACACGCACACACACATGCACGCACAAACAACAGATTCATACATAGGCCTAAATAATAAATTATGATAAAATTAATGAAGGACTAATCTGTTTTATCTGTTCTAACTAAAAATTTAAACGCAACTTAATCTATTATTATTGATTAACCGAACATTTAAAAGATTGATAATCCGGAAAAATGATAACAATAATTATTATTATAAGAATGATTATTATTATATTATTGTTGTTGGTGGTGTTTTGATTATATATACTTTCTCTTCTCCTACAAATGAAAAAAATTTTTTTAGCTAGTATCACTAGTGCTATTATTATCATTGCTTTGTTTGGATTCCAGTGTATAAATCAATAAGACAGCGCTATAACATAATTATAATAATATTCAATCAATCAATCAATCGATCAATCAATCAATCAATTATAATAATATTAATAAGTATAATTCTAACTATTATTACTATCCTGGAAACTAAACAGCCAATTTAACGTACATTCAAGTGTTCCTTCAGTTGTCTAAAGCTTTACACTAAATGATCAGAATCATGTTTAAATATCTACCAGATAATCATAACGACAAAAGATAACGATGGTGATAATATAACGTCTTAATTATTATTATTATTATCATCATTATTATCATCATCACCAACTTCTTCATCATCAACAAATATTTGAATAGAAATTTTTTTTGATCAAGCATTTTTTAAACGATAATTCAACAAATTGGGTAACCAACATCATCGTCGTCTTTATCATCATCCTTATTATTATTATCATCATCATCATCATCACCATCATCATCATCACCATCATCATCATTATCATAACCATCATCGGCATCGTCATCAACATCATCGTTATCATCATCTTTTTTAGATTCATGATGATGATGACGACAACGATGTTGATGATGATGTGATAATAATTGATAGCCACAATGATGACGATGATGACTATGAATATAGTTCTAGACGTAGGTAACTTTAGCAGATTTTTCTAACTCAAATTTATCTACAGAGTTATCAGACTGGGCTATGCTAGAGGCCATGCTGGAGTTTTTTTGTTTCTTCTTATTGGAGCCAGCCCTGGGAAGCGTGTGGTGGTGAGCAGTGGTTGCAGTCGCCGATGTGGCTGCCATCAAAGCCTGATCAGAAACTGGAGTCGTGAAATTGGCTACGTAATCTGGGGATAATTCGAGTCGAACTTTAGCAGGATCCGTCGATTTCCTCACTTCATTTTCATTCCAGTCCATTCCTACCATTCCATCGCTGCCGAACGATATGGCATCCGGATCATCTGTGAAGCCTAAATTGGCAAATTCTGATTTGCCGCTATTTTTAGGCTTGCTTTTTGATTGGCTGTGAGGGAACCAATGATGGTTGTGAGTTGCATGTTCGTGGTGCTGGCGGTGATAATGAGCTGAATTTTTATCAGAGTGTTGTTTCTTTTTACTGGAACTTTCTTTCCCATCATTATCGCCACCAGCACGAATGATATCATCATCATCATCTTCATCATCAACCTCGTCATCGTCATCAGGAGAGCTCAAAACCTTTTTCTTCGCCTGCCTCTGACTTACTTCCGAGCCA